GGGACTTCTTGGGCGGCCTCAGGCACAAGTGCACCTTGCCTCTCAACCACAGCTGGAGGCCTGAGGCGTGCAGTCAGCACAGTTGTGGCGTCAGCATGGTGGTCCCGGGCAGGTCGCCTGCACCCTGTTCTCCAGCCATGGCTCCCCATGGCCCTGCTGCCACCGCATGTGGCTCCCTGGTGTGCGCAGCGCTGTTGCCCTGCGCAGCGAGCTGCTGGCTGCCACCCTCACCCCCGCAGCCTTGGGCCAGAGAGGGTCTCCCCTCTTTGAGGGCCTGAGTAAGAGAACATGTCACTAAAAACAGTTATACTAGCCAGCAGTATTAAAAGATTTTCTTTGCAGAAATAGAAAAATTTTTGAACCATACTTGAGGTGTTTTCTGTAATAAATGTAAAATGCAGTGGTTTTGGAAAGTTTGGAAAACTTTCTAAAGAACAGAGAGAAAATAAGGAAGAGTTACGGCTGGAGGCAGGTGCCATGCCACTGGTGCTTCCCCGTGCACGCTCCTGCTGTGACCGCCTGTTTGGTAGAGATGGGGTCATGCTCAGCCATGCTTCTCCCCCCAATAATATCACGTGGACATTGTTCCCAAGTGATGTTGCTCAGTGAGCTGTTTATTGATCGCTCGCTCAGTCATTCCTCCCAAAATATCTACCATTAAAATTGTGATGTTTTATTTTGTGCGTTCAAGTCTGAAACCTTTCTTATTTTCCATGGTTTGGGCCCCCCAGTCTGGGGAGAGAAACCAGTTGGGGCTCTGCTTGTTCCTTTCTGACTCTGGTATCTGCGGAAGTGACTTAAGACAGAGTGAGCCCAGGCTGACTGAGTTCATGTGCCATCTGCATGACTTTCTTTTTCTGGATAACACCTGAAGTTTATTTGCATATTTTAAATATTTTCACTTTATAAACTTAAATACATTTTTAAAGGAAATTTTACGTTGTTACTGTAAAGCAGATGCCAGATCATTTGTCACAGTGAGTCAGAAATAAAAATGGCTGTCTCCAGTTTTAAAATTAAAATCAGTGTCACCACGTTGCCATGCTGTGGGGAGCATGGACTTGCTGAATGGGGTCGTGGGGGCTGGTTCCAGCTCTTTCAGTATGAAGATGGTGCCGCTGGCGGCTGAGCCTGCAGAGGGCTCACTCTGCTGTGATAAGAATGTTCAGCCCAGGCATGGCACCCACCTGGAGAAGGAAGGACTTTGGGACATCTCTCAGCCTCGTTCTGGCCTCGTTCAATGTGCTAGTTCACTTTGAAATCCAGTATCACTGTCGCCACAGTGAGTGAAGGATTCTTCCTGAGGAGAACATGCTAGCTCTCCAAAAGAGGGCAGATGAGCCGCCCTGGCCTGCCCTGCAGCATGGTGTGCTTTCTTTCTTTTTTTTTTTGTCTTTTTTTGTGACTGGTACGGGGATCCCAACCCTTGGCTTGGTGTCATCCGCACCACGCTCAGCCAGTGAGCGCACCAGCCATCCCTATATAGGATCCAAACCCGCAGCAGGAGCGCCACTGCGCTCCCAGCGCTGCACTCTCCCGAGTGTGCCACAGGGTCGGCCCTCATGGTGTGCTTTCTGAGCTGTGAGCAGAACGAACGGGCATGCTCTTTTCTCCTTCACTTACTGCAGCAGGGGCTTGGGTGCTGTCACATCTGCATCCAGAGAAGAGGGTGGCCACTAATCGCTGCCTTGACTTCTGTCTGTCTCTCTCTCCCATGTTAGGGGGCTGCCCCACTGCACCCCCTGGTGACTAATGAAAAGCCCGGCGACCAAGATGTCCCCTTTCCTGTTGAGTTTTTAGGACAAGAATATACAGGAAGAATAAAGATGAAAGCCACTACCTAGTGGCCTGTGACAGGTGAAACCATCAGACGGGTGTTCACTTCCTTCCTGGGTTACTTTTCCAGAGGACACCTGGATGTGGCAATAACCCTCGAGGTTTTGGGCTGAGAACACAGGCACTTAGCCTTGATATAGTGTGCCTTGGGCAGCTTTAAGTGTTGGACGTTGCTCTCGGCCTGGATTCTCAGCAGATGGTAGGCATGGTGCTTCCCAATTGGCTGGCTGATTAAATACAAGTCCTGGAAATACAAACAGGAAGTGGTTTTCATGTCAGCGTGTAATATCAGTAGATGCTGATCACAGCAAAGCCAGGTGCAAACAAAATGCCGGCCATGGAGACTCCCATTCTCAATAACACAGAAACTAAAAAATCTTGAAAAGAAAAAAATTTTAAAGGCAGGACCTTTTATGAAGAAAACTGTTATCCTTTATTGACAACCATAAAAGAAGACTAGAATTAATGGCGAGATACTGTTAGTAAGTTTAATAATCTAATCTGAAGCCCAGTGGGGTTGGAGAGCAGCCTGTGTGACACAGTGCTGCTGAAGTTGCTCTGCGGGTGAACACAGGCAGGACATACCAATGAATCTCTGAAAATCAAGTGTATTGGGAGTTTTAAATATATGTGTGCAGGTATGATTCTAAAATGAGAGTCTAAGATAGACTAATGGGAGAGCATAGCCCATGAGCAGTCCCCTCAGAGTTAAGAATTTATTGTCATCAAAGCTGACATCACAGATCATGAGGCAGGGGAGGCTGGCCTGCCGTGCCTCAGAAGTAATTGGTTGTAGACCTCCCGTCGTACCATACCATACACACCATATACCAAAACAGATGAATTCCAAATAGATACAGAGTAGGGTGTAAAGAGAAAGAAAGGGCTGGCCAGTTAGCTCAGCGGGTTAGAGCTCGGCCTTATAACACCAAGGTCAAGTTCAGTTCAGTTCTCTGTATAGGCCAGTGGTAAAAATAAAAAGACAGACAGACAGATGCTGTAGACAACTAGAAGAAAAATTCAAGTGAGTGTGACTGAGGAGCCAGAAGAACTTCCTGCGTAAGAGAAGCTGCCCCGGAGGATGAGGACTCAAATCAGTTTGACTGTATGAAAACGTTAAGGTCTTGTCAGTCCACCACACAACACAAAGGCAGATGGCCCTGGAAAAATACAGCATAGTAAGAGTTCCACTTACTCCACCATGTAGACATGGCTCATTAGAAAACTGGTAAAGAAGACTGGACAACTTTAAAAGATGCAGGCGGCTAAGAAGCAGTACAGAGCCTCACCAGTCACCAAAGACGCATTTTAAACAAATGAGAAGCCATGTTCTATTTATGCAGTTGCCAGAATTTTTGGCTTGTTTGTTTCGGTCTGGGTGGTGTCTTTAACTGATTGTTGAGAGTGAGGCAGAATGGGTGCCCTCACGCTGCTTTGGTCCACTTCCAGGGAAAATATTTAACCAATTACCAAGATCCTGTAAAATGTTCATCTCCTTTGACACTCTAATTCCATCTCTAAGGAGTTGGCCCTAAAAACAATGAGATGTCCACAAACTTTTACATTAAAAAGGACCATTTCAATATTATTTGTGTTTTTAAAAAGAAACAACAGTATAGAAATATTTAGATTATGTAGCATCAGACAGTGAATTATTATGTAGTCAAGAAAGACCACAACTTAGCAAATGAGTGATGGGAAACCCACCCCAGTGTCGGCCGGGCAGCCCACCAAGCAGGTCCCAGTTGTGCTTAATTTGAAGCATGTGTGCGTTCATCCTGAAAAGTGAGGTGCACAGAGATGCCAAGCAGTGGCCATACCCGGACAGTGAGGGGACAGGTGACTTCTATCTTCTTACTTTTACTTCATGTATTTTCCAGAAATTTTAAATGAACTTTTATGATTTTTAAAAAATATATAGTCTGTATTTTACTAACAGTGTAGACTTCACAGGATCAGCAGATATCTTCTTATGAGGCATTTATATTTTCCATTTTTCTCAAATTGTGATTGAACTTAGACTACTTTGGTATTAGTTCTGTGGCCCTGAGTTTTGGGTCACTTTTCAGTGGGTGTGGTTGGGTTTATGGAACATTTCTTGGGTGTAGGGTGTCCCTGACTTGGTGCTGATCCTCCTTCCTCCAAGCAGACATGCCACTGGGCCCTGGGCCACTCTTCTGAGCTCTCTGTGCTCCTGTGCTCCCCACCATGAGCTCTTGAGGCGAAGATGGGCAGGAGTTATAAATGCAGGACTGGCTGACCTGTCTCCTCCCAGCCCTGTTGCTCCCCTGCCCTCTGAGTGGCCAAGGTCGTCTCCTGGCTTCTTGAGACCAGCCTCAGTGGCATTGTTGTGTTCCTGCCCACCATGTGGCCTGCTCAGCACCACAGAGTTTGGCTCTCACTTTAGGTCTGTGACTCGTTTCCAGTTGATCTCGTGTGCCCACCTGTGATTACCACTTCCACAAACCCCTTTGGGGTCTTCAAGAAATTGCTCTTCACTGCCTCCTTCTCACCTGCCAGCCTCTTCCTGACACTTGAGGTCGGCGGCCATCCTGTAGGAGGGCCTGTGGCTCTCTCATGGCTCTCAGCTTTTTTCAGGGGTGTAATCAGGATGCTCTCTGGCTCACTAGATGTAATTAAACCAGTCTCTTTAAACATAAGTTAAAGAACAAAGAAAATACTTAAGGCTTGGGTTTGTTAATTCACAAGTCTTTTATTGTATTTCAAAACAAAAAGTAATTTTTGTTTTTTTAATTTCATAAATGTTAGGTACCTGCTATGTGACAGTGCTAGAGACAACAGTGTTGGACAAGGCAGACGCTGTCTCTGTCCCTCCCAGAGCTGATAGTATAGTCGGGAAGACAGAAATTAAGTAATGCCACCCAAGAAAGTAATTACCATTATGGTTAAAGAGAAATAGGGACGTTTCCCTAAAAAAGAGACATTTAAGTTGAGACCGTTTATAGAGAGGTCTCTGCTTGTCTCATTAATAATAAATTTTGTAAATGAAACATCTATCACCTTTTGTATATGACCTTTTATTTTTTGGGAATTCCTTAAATAAGCCAGTTGAATAATAATCTCGCCTCCCAATTCCTTTCACCCAAACAGCATTGCTGGGAAACAGAAGGTGCCAAGAGTTGCTAACCCCTATGTGATTCTAGCCGTCAAGCTGAGCCACCAAAGAAGGAGGCCGCCTCTGCAGGGCCGCAGGTGAAGCGTGCTGATGAGTGGAAGGACCCCTGGCGCCGATCCAAGTCTCCCAAGAAGAAGCTCGGGCTGTCGGTCTCCCCCAGCCGGGCACGCAGGCGTCGAAAAACGTCAGCTTCTTCTGCCTCTGCATCCAATTCCTCCAGGTAGAGAAGCCAGCTTGTGTACATGGCTGGTTAAACACCCCACTGACCCCACAGCCACGTCCTCTCACCAGGTCAGTTTGTGGACACCCTGGCCAGACCGTTTCTCCTGTGGAGTCATTACCTGAGGAAATGTCAGTAGGATTAAACAGGCATTTGTTATTCAGCAAAGAACATCAGCACCAGATAGGACTGATGTTAGAGCCTCCAGAATAGACAGTGAAGGGCCGGCCCGGTGGCGCATTGCTACAGTGCGCCGCTTGGGAGTGCGGCTGCGCTCCCGCTGAGGGTTCGGATCCCACATACAGACCGGTTCCCGCTCACTGGCTGAGTGAGGTGCAGGCGCAACACCGAGGGTTGCGATCCCGTTGCCGGTCCCAGTCCGGTACGGGCGCGACACTGAGGGTTGTGATCCGTTGCCGGACACGAAAAAAGACAAAAAGGAAAAAAAAAAAAATAGACAGTGAAGATCAGCCAGGATGTGGCAACCCAATGTGGGATACAAACACCAGCAGCTGAGCCTAACAGTGCAGCCACCTGGAGGAGCTCACCCAGGTCCCTGTGGGGTGCTGTGGGCTGCAGACTAGGAGAACAGTGCTCAAATCCTGTAATTAGTTAGCCTCCTTCTCTGGGGAGCTTGGGTTAGTAGCGCTGAAACTCTGTGTGTGTTCTGCGTCTGCCCACAACGCACCTCCTGGTGTGTTCAATGAGAGCCAGGTCTCACTGCCCAAGGACAGAGTTAGAGATGGCAGGGGGGCCAGATGGACCCCATCATGTTCAAAGTGCACACATATGGACAGAGAAATACACAGACACATGCATGCAAGGGTTGTGTGCACACACCCAGCTCTGTCCACTAGGCCAGGTGCTGGGTCACCTTGATAGTGGGCACACCCATTACTTGGGGCTCAGTTTCTGAACACAATTCTGCACCAAACGGGTTGGACTACAGCATGTCCTCATGTGTCCAAAGGCGGTGTGTGTGCATGTCCATGCATGTGTGTCTGAACAAGTGTGTAGCTGTGCCATCCAGGTCTGCACTGAAGGACACATTCAGCATGGGACCTGCAGGGGCGTGAAAGTCTTCTCACCTGTCTTCCGCTCCCTTCTCCGTTTCTCCAGGTCATCTTCACGGTCATCGTCCTACTCTGGCTCTGGCTCATCCCGGTCCCGGTCCCGGTCTTCGTCATACAGCTCCTACTCTAGCCGTTCTTCCAGACACAGCTCGTTCTCAGGCAGCCGGTCCAGGTATGTGCCCAAGACCCGGCTGGGGCCCAACAGCAGGTGCATGCGCACAGCTTCTCTTGACATGCCTCGCATCATAGCACGTTTGCCAGCCACTAGTGACAGACTTCGTCTTGATGGTTGTTCTAAGTACTTGTTTCAAAACAGTGTCAGTAAGTTACATGTCTAACAGTGAATTCTGAAGAATGACACGCAGTGAAACGCCAGATAGCATAAACCACGAGTGCTGGAGTGCCCGCTGAAGAGGCGATCCAGAGGCAGAGCTGCCGCTGGCCTGTCGAGTGGGTTGCAGTCGGGGAGGGGGCACCTGCAGGCACAGCCTCTGGAACTGCCCCATCCATTGCAGGGGCTGCTTGCTGAGATGGCGCGAGCCACATTTCAAGCGCTCGTTGGCCACATGTGGCTGGTGACATAGCACGTCACAGATACAGAAGCATTTACACTATCTAGAAGCTTCATACAATTTTGTTTAAACAGTTCTTGGTTGTCATTTGGATACAAAAAATAGTCATTGGTTAAGCTGAGTTCTGCCAGCACATATGTGGCCTTCCATGTCACCTGTCCTACCCACAGGAACACCCGCCAATGTAGTCCCTTTCTGCCACACTCTGCCAGTGTGGGAAGCCCCGCCCACTCCCTTTCCTTTTCCTCAGTTGAGAGAAGAAAGACCCAGGACCAGAGAGAGACTAGGGCAGGGTGTGCAGTGGGCTGGCACATGGGCTGCTCCCTCCATGACAGTCCTACATGTAGCTTCTGCTCCGCCTGGGCCCTCTCCCAGTCCAGTGTCACTTCAGGCCCAGTCTGGGTAAGTCATAGATAAATACAGCATGACACCCCAAGAGAGCTAGCAGGGTGGGTTGGGTGGGGGGCATTTAGTCCCAGGGTTGACCAGAGAATCACATGCAGCCCCCATGCCCCCCCCGCTGCTTTTGGAAGTGTCATCGCCATATGTCTTTCTTGGAGTAGAGCTGACCAGTCCATCTTAGGGTGGTTTGTTGTCCCACCCACTAGCACCCCTTCCCAACAGATATCTTACCTGAGGACAGACACAGTTATAGAGAGAATTAGAAAGCAGCAGTAAGGGATCCTAGAAGCTGTTGAATCTGATGTCAAGTTGACATATTTTGTGGGTGCAGAACAAACTGGAGTGCATTACACTCCTGTGTAGGGACCTGTTTTCCACGGATGTTGGATCTTAGAGCAGCAGGCAGCTGTGAACAAGAGATGGGCCTTCTCCTAAGTGTACCCGAGTGCCAGCTGTGGGTGCGTGGGCCTCAGTGTCCTGCTGGGGTGTTGACAGGACCAGAGCGCAGAGAGGTTGACATGGGCACTCGGGGGTGCCTCCTGTCAGGGTTGTTGCGTGGAGATGGGAAGAACTCTGCATGGAGCTTCATTTAGGAAACATAGCTTGCAAGGTGTGGGAAAAAGCCTTCAGGTCAAGCTGAGAAGTTTGGAAATTTTAGAAATGTGAAGTCACATTGATGGGTTTGGGTGGCAACTATAAGTGATTTTTGCTCTGCGTGTGCAGTTGATGATCCTGGGAGGAGAGACTGGGAGGAAAGCCCCATGGCAACCTTGTCACCTGAGATGGGGGACACCCCAGCCAAGGGGCAGAGGAACAAGGACTGGCAGGTTCACTCCTCAGGTGCTCACTGGCCCTTCAGCTCAGTGACGTGCAGGAGGAGAGGGAGGTGTGGCTCTCTCACATACAGGGCCTTCCCATCAGCCACTTCTGAATAAGTGCCGCTTGGCTTCTCTTTTGAGCTCCATCGTGGCACCATCACGTCCTCACAGCATCAGCTTAGGCATTTCTGCAGAGGTAGACGCACCTTGCTTAGCTACGTGGCCCCCCGGTTGTGTTTGAGACCCCTGCTGGCTGCTGAGCTGGACCACGGGTGCGGGGTCCTCTGCGCTGGGGTCCAGGCCCAGGCTCTGCAGCTGTTTTCGCTGGAGCTGAGCCGCAGAGGCCCTTTCCGAGGAGCAGACAGGGAAGAGGGTCTCCCGGGCTGGCGATGCTGCCATGCACAGTTGGAGGTTCCCTCAGGCTGGGCTCCCTTCCAGCTCCTCCCATGGTGGGTGGCCCAGCAAAGTGAGGCATGCATGCGGTGGAGAGGACAGACGTAGTTCTCCTGCGAGCTTCGCCTTTAAAGATTGTAGCGTGTGTGACTGCGAGGTCCTGACCTCCTTGTTTCAGTTGCTGGTGCTGCCAGGCTGGAAAAGCTGAAAATCCCACACAACGGTGCTCAAGGGGGGAAAACAGGCTGGCCCTTGCAGTTTCCACCCTCCTACTTCACGGGTGCCATCCTGGGTTGCTCCGAGACCCTGTCCTGGGACAGGGTCAGAGTCACTGAACCAGGGAGCTCCCAGGGGTGGCGGGCTCTGACCATGCCACCAGAGCTCCGCCTCTAGGCAGTTTCATCACCCTGCTCTCCCTCCCTGGGCCAAGCCAGCCCTGAGTCCTGCCACCATCACCTCTGCACACAGCCTCTGTCGCCTGCTTTTGCCAACCTGGGCTTGACCTGTCCTGTGGTGCTTGGGGCCACACCTCACTTCCCCCTACCACTTTCAAGCCATCTGGGTCTCTCGAGTCCCCTGCTCGGCCCAAGGCCACATTGGCCCGTGGATGTCAGGTCAAGCCTGTGATCTCCAGTCCTGCACGCTCACATGCACACCCGGGTCCCCGGTCCGCGCCCCCCCCCCCCGGGGGCTGACTGCCCTTTCAGCACCCTCCTTTCTGTTCTGGACATGTGTTCTTGGCACGTGCCACAATGGTCTGAACCAAGTTTAAATCTGAGGCAAATGTGTAGAAGCTCTAGGTGGTACTTTCTGGGGGTCTGTGGAGGTGGGCTTGGGCTGGATCACACCAGACTCCTCCTAACACCTGTGTTTGCTCCGTAGGTCTCGGTCCTTCTCCTCATCCCCATCCCCCTCTCCAACACCCTCGCCCCACAGACCTGTGAGAACCAAGGGGGAGCCGGCTCCGCCTCCCGGGAAAGCAGGGTAAGTTGCAAGGGGGGTGGGGGCACCAGCTTCCTTCATCTGTCTGTCTTGTGTGTCGTATTGGTGACCACAGAGGTGGAGAGGCCTCAGTGGCTGTGGACGTAGCCCCTGGAAGATGGGGGGAGGTGCTGGCCTCAGACCCTTGTCTCACCTCTCAAGGGTGTGGACTTGGTGGCCTGTGCCTCTGTGTGGCGCTCTGCCTATAGATTGCCAGATGGCAGATCCTTGGAGGTTCCATTAGGAAAGCGCCACAGCAGTGACGCTCCACCAGCATTGGGCACTGCTGCCATTGTCCCCACAGCCATCGCACAGGCTGTTGGGTTTGGGACTGCAGCTGGCATGGTGGTTTCCCCCGTGCTCTGGGGCAGGCAGCCACGTGGCTGTGTCTGTACCTTGTAGAAAAGAGCAAAACCCTGTGAGGTTCCATCTGCTGTTCACCTTTGCTGCTTCCCAGAATTGGTCACGTCAGTCCTTCCTAATGGCTGCAACTGAAGCAACACCTGGAGGAGCTGGATGCTTAGGGTTGCTTGGTATGCAACATTGATACACGTGACGTGCAGCCTCTGGGCTCGCAGCGTGATCCGCTTCTCCTGCAGCTTTGCTGAATGCACAGGGGTCAGCGTTTAAATGACCCAGTGTGGCTCTTGCTGATACCTGCGGGTAGGCGGCCTTGCACCTGAGCAGACACAGGACCCTGCCTGGGCAAGTGTGAAGCCAGCGCTGGCTCCACTTTTTGATTTGTTATGTTTGTTACTCATTCAGCAGGAAATAGTCCAGCACCCACTGCATAGGGGTATCAAGTAGCTCCATGCTACAGGGGTTTTGTCCTTAAATAACAGGCCTCAGAAAAAGTGAGAAAACCAACTGGTGTATTGAGGAACGATTACAATTAGTGCCCTGCTCCATTTAAATATACCATTTGATGAATTTTAACATCGTGTGCCCACTCTGCTCCCCACCAGCCCAGCAGCGGCTGCTCTGCCTGTTGTCACTGCTCCTGAGCGCTATGTGACAGGAGCCCTGAAGAAGGCATATTGGCTGTGCTCTGTTTCCAGCACTGACTTGAGATTTGTCCTTGACGTTGTGCTCAGCAGCTTCCTTTTGCTCAAGACTGACTGACTGACTGTTGACTCGTTTGTCTTTGGCCACTGGCCAGTACAGGGAACCAGGCCCTTGACCTTGGTGTTACAAGGCTGTGCTCTAACCAACTGAGACAAATGGCCAGTCCCGAGACTTACTTTCTGTTTCCTGCCAGTAATATCCACCTTGTTGGCGTGTGCTTCCCACGTGGGAGTGTCCAACGGCAACATGAGAGGGCCACTGGCAGCAAGGGCTGGGCAAGTGGGTACAGGAGGTCGGGGGGGTGTGTCTCCAGGAAGCTGCCGCTCATCCAGGAGCACACAAAGACGCAGCCCTAAGGGGACACCACCTGTTGTGGGTGTTCTCAGAGTCTTCTGATAGGTTTATTTCTTCACTGCCGGGATGCACCTTCCATTCCTGCCTTAGAAAGGGAAGCAGGGAAACCACGGTGGGTGGCGTTGGAGACGTTCCACAGAGCAGCAGGGAGCAGCCTGAGGCGTGGGTGCGAGTAGTACAGCCCTAACTGAACCTTCCTCCATATCACAGAGAAAAGTCCGTGAAGAAGCTGGCCCCGCCTCCAGCCCCCCCTCAGGCTGCCAAAACCACTGCTCCTGTCCCTGAGCCCGCCAAGCCAGGGGACCCTCGGGAAGCCAGGAGGAAGGAGCGCCAAGCCAGGACCCCCCCCCGGAGGTGAGCGCTCCAGCTTCAGCAATCCTCATGGGATTTCTCATGTCTTTAGTGCCACAACAAAACAGGCGCCAAGTCCAGAGGCAGGGGTGGGAGGGTGCCCTAGGCAAAGTGACAGCCCAGCATGCCAAGCGCCCACCAAGAAGCCTCCCTCCCCTAACCCGTGTGACTTTGGCCAGTCATGTGCCCTCACTGAGCCTGTTTCCCTGGAGCATGATGGGAGGAATGAACCCCTTCTCGCCTCCACACGTCCCAGGACCCTGGGGAGAGGACGGTGTGGAAGACCCCTGACTCCAGGATCTTCCCTGGAGAGAAGCGGCTGGTGCAGGAGACAGTGGCTCCCGTGTCTGGGCGCTGAGAGGGACCTGTATAAACGTTCCTGTGATATTTAGTTTTTTATTTTAAGAAAAAGTTACACCTAAAAGAAAACAGACCATGCACTGTTCCAAGTGAGCAGCAGTGAACTTCTCATGGCCTTGCGTCTGGGCCAGGGCCTTTGTCCTGGGGTGAGCGTGGCCTTCTGAGCGCGCTCTGTGCTTGTGTTGCAGGCGGACTCTCAGCGGCAGCCACAGCGGCAGCGGCAGCAGCTTCAGCGGCTCCAGCTCCCGCTCCAGGTCATTGCTGGCTTTTCTCTGGGCCCCGTCATTGCCACCCGCCATGCCTCGGTTTCTCCCTCAGGCAGTCTGTGGCCAGTGCTCGCAGCTCCTCTAAGTTTGAGTCACCTTGGGGCAGTGAAAGGCTGGCTGCACTGGCTGTGTCACAGAGAAGGAGGTTAACTGATACACAGGGAGGCTCAGCCCAGGTCCAGGAGTCCAGGGCTCGGCCGCCAGAGGAGGGGCCTCCCCTGCTGCTGGCGACAGACGCCCTCCCTACTCCACAGAGCACCCGCAGGTGGCAGAGGAAGCGGGAGCTTCCAGCAGACTGGGAGAGTCCCGTACCCTTTGTGTCCTCTGTTCGTGCCCTTTGTATGGATGGGCTGGGGCCTGCTCAGGCCTGCACAGCCTAGTGGAGGGAGCCAGGCCCGGGCAGTTAAGGGGTGAGGGAGCCCCCTTTTCAAGTAAGTGGAAAAGATGTCTGCTGTTTAGTTGTTTAAAAAGAAGACAGCATCAAATCAGCCCTGATTCCTTATGTCAAGCTCGCTCTTTCATCTCCAGGCAGCAGGTGGTTTACACATCTGCCTAAGATCTCTCTTAATAGGTCTGGAATGCTTCAAAGACCTAACCTGCTTTTAAAAATAAAAAACTTCTCCTTTCCTTCCTCCTTCCCCTGTTCTGGTGCCCCACCCCCCTTAGGAAGTGCTGATGTGTGCCCCCTCAGAGTGTGGCAGGCAGGGCAGGGCAGATGCCAAAGTGCTGGCCGCAGGACCTGGGGTCTGAAGATCATCTTCCTCACTTTTGTGAGGCGTGCCCTGACATCAGGGAAATCCCTCATCTCCTTTTTGATTTTACTGAAGACAAAAGCCGTCACCTTTAACCAGGGACTCTCCTGCTTATGTTCTGCTATCAGCATTGCTGGTTCAAGCTCAGTCACCTTTCTCTCCCCAGTACTGTGGCCATTTATTAGTGGCATAGTCATCCCTTCACTGTGTAGCACCTTCGAACTACTCAGAGCCCCCCTCAAACCTCATGTTCATTGGGTACACGTTCCTTCACGATAATTTAAAATTGGGCAGGGCCGAGCCCGTGGCGCACTCGGGAGGATGCGGCGCTGGGAGCGCAGCAGTGCTCCCGCCACGGGTTCGGATCCTATATAGGGATGACTGGTGCGTTCACAGCACTCACTGGCTGAGCACGGTACGGCCAGTCTCAAAAAGGACAAAAATAAATAAATAAAATTGGGCAAAAGCACACTGAAGAGACCCGCCTCTGGCCCAGTCTGTCTTGCGGTCAGCCTCATGGCACAGACGTGTTGTGTGTGTCCAGGTCCCTGAGCGTGAGCAGTGTCTCCTCAGTGTCCAGTGCCACATCCAGCAGCAGCTCAGCGCACAGTGTGGACTCGGAGGACATGTACGCGGACCTAGCCAGCCCTGTGTCCTCAGCCAGTTCGCGTTCCCCCACCCCAGCCCAGACCAAGAAGGAGAAAGGTATGTGGGCCCTGCGTCCTGGGGGTGCAGCCCAGAGGGGCTGGGCCTCCCATGAGAAAGGTGGTGTCACCTAGATGCTGCCTGGCTGCCAGAGCGGCCCACAGGAAAACTGTCACTGTATGCCCTAACTAGGACTTCTTATTGGCAGGAAAATCTAAGAAAGAAGATGGTGTTAAGGAGGAAAAGCGGAAAAGGGATTCGTCCACGCAGCCACCCAAATCTGTGAAACCACCTGCAGGTGGAAAGTCCTCCCAGCAGCCCACGACACCTCAGCAGGCACCTGCTGGGCAGCCCCAGCAGAGCACGTTCATTGCCCACAAGGAGATCAAGTTGACGCTATTGAACAAGGTGAATCCAGGGGCCCGGGCAGTGGGCTGCCCGACATCCAGGCAGCAGCACCTGGGCCCGGCTGGCGGGAGCCCAGGAAGCCACATCAGGTCTGTCCTGCTCCCTCGGGCCAGATTCCTCCTGTGGGATTGAGACCAAGTGAGGCCAGTGAGTGGCCTCCTGCATGCATCAGCAGAGCCTGGCACGTCGGGGAGCAGGTCCTGGGCACCTCCTGCCTCAAGGACGCGTTCTTGTGCCTGTAGCCCAGCACATTCCAACAGAGCAGCCTGAGCACAGAGAGCAGGGAGACGCAGCCCAAGTCCTCGTCACCAAAGCGCCATGGTTCTCACCCCTCCCTTGGCATCAGAGAGCCCAAGTCTCTGTGCAGGTGGCTGGCAGGGCAAGAGGCCCAGCACATGGGGCAGTTTCCTGCTAATGACCCCCGTGGGGGCAAGCAGAGCCACAGGGCCCTTCCCAGTGCAGGACATGGGTCGTGGAGGCCTTGTGCAGGGCAAAAAGTGCTGCACACAGTGAAGGCCCCTCGGGAGGCCCCAGAGAGGGATTTGTGGGAACAGAGGGCAGGTCGCTGGTGATGACAGCCCGGTGTGAGGATGCGGCCACTGGCCCTCTGCCATCATGTCGTCTCTGTCATTCTAGGCAGCTGTTCGGGAGGCCCCAGAGAGGGATTTGTGGGAACAGAGGGCAGGTCGCTGGTGATGACAGCCGGGTGTGAGGATGCGGCCACTGGCCCTCTGCCATCATGTCGTCTCTGTCATTCTAGGCAGCTGATAAGGGGAGCAGGAAGCGATATGAACCATCAGACAAGGACAGACAAAGCCCTCCTCCTGCCAAGCGGGCGAACTTATCCCCCGAGCGAGGTGAGCCTCCCCTAGGCCTCTTAGAGACCAGGGCAGAGATGGGGGCAGCCTTGGGGGGCTTGCAGAAGGACCAGTGGGGCCCCCAGAGTGCCGGCCAGCAGCTCTCAAACTGTTGGGTTGCAACACCCTGTTTGCTGTTAAAGAATACTGAGGAGGAACCCAAAGAACTTCTAATTGTGAGTTACATTTATCAATATTTATGATATTAGTAACTAAAATTTCAAAATTTAATATTTGTTTTAAAATAGTAATAAACCACTACATTTTAACACAAATACCATTTATGGAAAATAATTACATTTCCCAAAACAAAAGAAATTAGCAGGAATGGCATTGATTTTCCTTTTTTGCAAATCTCTAATGTTGGCTGACTGAAGGCAGCTGGGACCATCCCTCTGGGCATGGCACCCATCATGGGGCACCCGGAACTCCACAGGCTCACAGGGACATAGCTGGAAAGGCAGTCAGTGTTTCTGTGTTACTGTCTCACCGTGTAGACCTGAAAGGGCCTCGGGGACCCCCAGCCATCCCTGTACCACACCTTGAGAGCCCCTGGCTCAGATGGAAAGATGGGAATCTTCCTGGCTGGCTTGACAGACAGAACAAAACCTGAGTTTCCTCCTTGAGATGGGGGTACAGGGGCCTGGCCACCACTGGCAGAGACTGAGGTTCGGGGCGCCCTCCAGGGCAGGTTCCTGGGCCTGTTGAGTGCAGGAAGAGGAAGCTGGTGGGCTGGCCTGGGAGCCGCCTCACCATCCTTGCCAGGGTTGCGTGACCCTCACTGGTCTCGAACCAGGGCACCTGCACCAGGTGGTGACCCTAACCTCGTACTGCCACACGCCCCACCTTAGCAGTGGTGGGATAAAACATTCCTGACCTCTTGGTTTTGCTTTTCTTTTTTAAACTGTCATACGTTTTTTATCGCTCCATATTTGAAGACCCATGTGATAGCTTTCTTCAAAGCTAAGTAAGAGTTTTATTTTGTTTTTATTAGACAGGGAGTGCTCGGTAAAGCCGAGAATCCAGATGCAACCTTGACGTCAGGAGTGTCACTGGGGCCTGGTCCTGTGACACGTTGGCGCTCACATCTCCCTCCTTTTTTACATGGCTCTTCCATTCTTATCTTCTTCATAAAAGCAGAGGAGGTACGTGGAGGTGCCTCCACTCTTTGGAACTAGATCCCAGGCGTCCGGTGAGGCTGTCCTCACTGAACTCCTCACCACCAGCCAGCCTTACTTTGCTCCCTTTTGCCCAGGTTCTCGGGACCGGAAGTCAGGTGGGAGACTGGGCTCCCCAAAGCCAGAGCGGCAGAGAGGCCAGAGCTCGAAAGCCCCTGTGGCCCCGGCAGACAGGTGAGTCCCCACCTATGCCTTGGGCACACTGAGGAGGCTGGACCCAGCCTCTGCCCTGAGGAGGCCAAGGTGATCAGGGCTAGCCCTGGGCCAGGCCCCAGGACTCTCCTCAGCTCAGAAGGCAGCAGGGTGGCCCAGACTTGCTGCACCTCCTACTGTGCCCACCGCAGGCTCTGGACACACCTGAGGTGCTTGGCTTGTGGGGCCCGAGGAGGGCCGGGGGCTGAGATGATGCTTGTTCCTTTCTTACTCTCCATGTCAAGGGGACAGGGGCAAGATGCAGATTCCTTCCAAAGGAAATCTCTGCCGCACCTGCTGGGCTGCCCTGGGCCCAGACGCCCAACCCCTCTCTCACACCCCCCTGGCCGTGGACACAGAGAGGTTGTGGGTGAAGAACAAGGGGCCAGCCCAGAACCCTCCCAGTCTCTGACCTGGGAAGGAAGGGGCAGGGCCAGGGGAGCGGGGCTGGCCAGGCCTGCCTGTGGCCAGAACAGGCATGGCAGTGGGAGGCCACCAGCCAGAGCCCTGTCCTGTTTTGGGGACTCTGCCGAGGAGGCCTGGATGCTGGCTCACAGGGAGGACTTCTGCATTGCTCCCCGCACCAGCAGACACAGCTCTGAGGTCCTGCCTTACTGTCCCTCCAAACCCCCCAGGAAGCGTCAGTCATCACCCCAGTCGAGGAGCTCCAGCAAGGTCACAAGTGTACCCGGCAAGGCCTCGGACGCGGGCTCTGCCGCCAGCACCAAATCAGGGAAGGCCAGCACACTGTCGCGGCGGGAGGAGCTCCTGAAGCAGCTCAAAGCCGTGGAGGATGCCATCGCACGCAAGCGGGCCAAGATCCCCGGGAAAGTATAGCAGAGCCCACGGGCTTGGCTCCCCAGAGCAGACTCTCACGTGTTTTTATAAATAGGGTAAGCACAGCCATTTTGGATTTTGCAGTTAATGTCTTATTTTGGCTGTGATTCTTTTTAAAAATTTAAAGAGAAAAAACAGTTTCTCAGCTGGAAAAGAAGCCACACACGAAATGAAGATGACGCTGGACCCCAGCCTGCTCACCAGACTGGGTCGGTCCCTCCCCTAGCAAAGTCCCACCGCACAGACAGGTCGGAGTCCCGCGACCGCAGCACCAATTTTATGTAAATTATAAGTCCAGACACCTGCCCAGCTCACAACACTTTTTCCCTCCCACCCCCCTTCCTTTTCGCCCCTCTTCCAGTCAGGCCACGGTAGCCCCTGCTGTGTGTCCCTGTCTTCAGCAGAGCTGTCCTCCGTCCTGGTAATGAGGAACCGAACACTTCCTGATCTACTGGCAGCGTCTTCCCTTTCCTCGTCCGCCCCAGGATCAAAAAATATATATATATATTCTTGACTAAAGTCTGATTGGGAAATAGTTCCTGTCTTTTATTTTAAGCATCAAATTGTTTAGTTGATTTAAAAAGGAAAAAAAAAATACAGAAAAGACCAAAAAAACAGCCCAGGGGTATTGTGGGGCATCTGTCTAATGTGGAGGATCTTTTTTGAGGGTCTCCTAAAATAAAATATTTTGATAAGCAGTTGTCCCTGCCCTTGTGCTGTCTGTGTGCCTGGGTCCAGCCCCCTCGACTCCGTTGTACTCTGCCTGGTATTTGGGAGCCCATTGAAGGCGGGCGAGGACTTCTGTGGGGTGACCTCTGTGGGGTGCTGCACCTCAGTTTCCCCACCGTGAAGGTGGGCTAACACCCACCCTGTTCCCTTTGGGGTTATGGTGCCACCTTCCCAGCAGTGGGCCCTGGCCTGGGCAGAGACAGTATAGCAGTTGGCAGGGAGTCTGAGGGCCTCTGCTCTGACCACATCACCTCACCCTGACCCAGATGAGAATGTTGAGGGCCGAGGTGTGCTAGTCCACAGCACTCCCATGGGAGAGCGCCCCCTGGCGCTCACTGCCCCCACCCCTGTGAGTATTGAGGTGACAGTGCACACAGGAGCCCCAGAGAGGCCAAGACCCCAAGGCCTCCCAAGCACACACTCCAGGTCCATCCTCAAGCATGACACCACGGCCTGCCCTGCCCTTCCTAGAACCTCCGGGTGAAGTGCTGCCAGATGGCCTATGCTCTCTCCAGTGGACTGTTCCCATCTTACATCTGCACCCCTCTCACAGCACAGCCACGCCATTCAGCTGGGTCACAGCAGCTTGGTCTTGATGGTGAGTCCGGGCAATTTTTTGTGGCTTTGATTTGCCATCGGGTTGAAGACAGGCACAAAGGGAACTCCCCCAAGTGAGCAGAGCGAGCAGGCTGGCCTGTGCAGGGGACTCTGCCCTCCGGTGTCCAGTGGAGAGGGCGTTCTGGCTAGTGTCTGGGGACAGGAAGGCCTCTGTCACGCGGTGAGGACGGCCCTTGGGCATCTGCCCTCCAGAGAATGTGACGCTTCCAGGCAGCGCACAGTTCTGGGGGTGGTCACAAGTTCCTCACGCTCCATTCCTGCTTGGACTCCATCACATTCACATGACCTACCGCTCAGTTCACTGAGGATGGTTTGTGTGGGATTCTGGTGGCCGGGGGTCATGTCCTGCCCCCTGATGACTTAGAGCACCTGCCCTCCACCAGGTGGCCACCAGTCCTCTCCTGGGCCTGTCCTGCTGCGATTGCGCCCATGCCACCAGCCCCTCCTCCTGCCAGCTGTGAGGCTCCATGAGCCCCTCCCTGCTCTCGGCCTCGGCCCCAGGAGCTGCAGCCCTATCCAGGCCCCAGGTGAACAGGCCTGGGGAGCCGGCCCTGGAGGGGGCCATGGTTGAGGCAGAGACGAGGAGACCACTCCTGCTGGTGAAAGTGCTGGAGTCAAACCCGCCATGACAGGAGCTTGTGAGGCCGCCAGGGCGGGACCTCTGCCACCTGTTCCCTCTCACTCTAATGTTGCGCTCCCGCCAGCAGTTCCTGCAGACGTCCCCACCTCCACCCCTAGTGTGTCCAGCTTCCCATCTAACTAGAAACACCTTTGCGGGCCAGCGAGTCCTGGCATGACCCTCTGCACTGCACATTTGCAACTCAGAGGAGCAGTGACCCTGAACCCCTAACAGGAGCGAGACCCTGCAGACACCCCCTGCCTCCTGCCCACCCCGCCTCCTCCCCACTGGCCCTCGAAACATCTGGGGTGGGTGGCACTGCTGCCTTGCACAGAGGGTGCTATGTCCATTTCTGTTGCTTATAGCAAAATACATAGAACTGGGTAATTTTGTAAGAAAACAAAATTTATTGCTTACAGTTTCAGAGGCTGGAAGTCTGAAGTCCAGGGAACACATCTGGTGAGGCTTTCTTTGGTGGTGACTGCAGTGACGTCAGGGCATCACGTTGTGAAAATGGCAGAGCAGAAAGACTTCCTCATTCCTTTGAAGCCCTCAGAACCACGCCCCTGACCACCATTTTTAATCCATTCACTACTGCAGGGTTCTACAATCCGATCACATCTTCAAGGCCTGACCTTTCAATTACCATAATAGGATCTCTCACCCTCAACAGTTATAACCAGTGGAGATGAGGTTTTGGGGAGACACTGAACCCAAGGCAGGTGGGATGTGGGGGAACCTGAGCTGGTGCAGGCACCCTCCTGCAGGCCGCCTCCCTGAGCCAGGCCCACGAGGGTGGCTCCCACCCAGCCAGGGCGGTTCCTCTGTCCCTGGGTGGGTGTCTACGTGTCTGCTTTCCTGCCCTGGTCTCCATCTGTCTCTCCCCAGCCTTTGAGCCACCAGCTGGGACTGGGGGCGTGGTCTGTCTGGGGGCGGGCCTGTATGGGCCGCCACCTCCCGGCAGCCCTCCAAACCTTTGTCATCCTCCTGCCACTTCCAGTCTTGCCCAAGCCAGGACTTCTGCACTTGCCTCAGCTGCCCGCAGGAACGAGGTGCCGCCCAGCCCACCCCACGCCCTTCCGGTCCCGTTTGTCCCAGGGACTGGCTGTCAGGACCCCGCGGACAGCGCACCGCCCGGGGCAGCTCACATGGGTGGGCACGAAGCCCTGTCTCGGCTTCACCTGTGGTCCGCACAGATGGCTCTCATTCAGCTGGCTTTTAAAATAGAAACAGAAAATGCCAGAACACACCCTCCAGGTGGGGCAGGATGGAAAGAGGTGGGCAGAGGCGAAGGTAGCGGGATCCAGGCCGCACCAAGCTTGAGATCTTAGTTAAGTGATGCCGCCGCCAGGCCCCGCCTCGGCCCCCAGCAGCCTCCTCCCCCTGGGAGAATGAGTCAGGACCTGGGGGGAGGAGGAGCCTGCAGGGAGGACAGAGGGAGGAGGCCGCAGGTGGGAATTCACCTGGACATAGGACAGTTCCAACCACAGAGCCAAGGGGGAGACCCAGCAGGGGGCAGGGGAGGGCCAGCCAGAGGCAGGGAGGTCCCTGGAGGCCCTGCCTCGAATCCTAGTCAACTCTCATTGGAAATTTTTGGAAATGGTCTCCAGGGAATATCTGCGTCCCTGGTGCCCATGTTCATAGGTGCAGGCCCAGCCAACTCCCACCCCCTCCCCATGGCAGATTCTAACCTGTGATTCCAACTGGCTGTGGGTGTGGGGGCTCCCACTGTGAAGTCAACCAGCCTGGGTTCAGGCACCAGGGACCCCTCATGTCCCCAGAGACCCTGTCATCAGAATCTAGCTGCTCTGGAATCCAGGCCGCAGCCCCTCTGAGTGCTCCAGGGAAGGAGGGTGGGGACACGGGGAGGATCAGGGTCTGGAACTGGGGCAGGTCCCTGCCCTCTCTGAGCCCTCCTCGAGGGTTGCTGCCTTATCTACTCCTGTCCTCCCCTGGGTCTGGGGCAAAGGGTGTGGGGACAGAGGCGGGAGATGGGGGTGGGCCCAGCCAAGCTGGGGGGGGCCCTCCATCCCACTCGTCACTTGTCTGTCCCTCAACTCCTTCGTGGGCATTCAGTTCATCATGCACTAACTACCCCTGACGTGGTCCCAGCCCTGGGGCTATGGGTGGACCATGCTTGGACAGACCTGTGTCCAGTGCTTTGGGAGGGTGGGGACGCCAGGAGGAGTCCTCGCTGGCTACATTGGGGCGTGGGGATGGAGCGGAGATGGGATCTGCCCAAGGTGGGGGCCCTCTCCCCCTCCCCCCTCTTCCCTCGTTTCCTTCCTCTTCTCCCTTCCCTCCTCTCTTTCCAGGGACACTGGGTATGGTTGAGCAGGTTGCGTACTGCACGAGGGCCCTCAGACCTTGTCCTCCCACCCCTACACTGTGCACCCCGAGGAAGACACCTTTTTCTAACTCAGGTCCCTTCTGGAACCTCTCCCACCTGTGCAAGAGGGGGGTCATGTGATGTTCACCTGATCTTGATCATCTTAGATAAAAAATGGAACCAACCTCAATGTCTACCAACAGAGGACTGGAGACACTGGCCCTGGGGGAGCACTACAGTGGGATGTAAATGAGCAAGCCCCTGCCTCCACCCCCCAGGTGCTTAGGTCAGTTTTGAGAATGTTGGGGCAGGACCTGATCGTGGCTCCGTGTGCAGGTGGCAGGCTGGGAAGGGTCCGTGTGGGTGTGGCAGGGAGGTTAACAGGGTCTGACGGGGCTCCACACAAGCCTGTCTGTGGTGTTCTGTGTCTGTGAGAGGTGGGCTCGGCAGGGCAGGGGCATAGCGAGGCGGGGACCCGCGGGGACAGGAGGAGGAAGCACTCGCGGCTGGGCACTTCCCCAGGAGGAAGTGCCGGATTTTCCCCAGGTGTGGCTGCAGGTGTAAAAGGTATAAAGAGCCTGCTGCAGCCAGGTCTGCTGCCACCAGGTGCACCTCCGGAACCATCACAGCTGCACAGGTTACTCTGAGCCTAGCCTACAGCCGCTACTGCCACCACCACCAGCAATGGTGAGCCCGACACCTCTCCCCATACACCCACCCGGATAGTGCAGCCTGGCCCAGAAGGATTGGTTCTCTGAGCCTAGAATGAGGATGTTGGGATGGGGTCTAGGAAGCCCCCTAACCTGAGGGAAAAGAGAACCAGCTCCCCAGGTCCTAGGAGCCCTGGTGTGCTGGGTCCCTTGGGCTAGCCTCTCTGGGCCTCAGTGTCCCCATCTGTAAAGGGAGGGCTGTACCCCATCTTTCTGTTGGGAAGGGGACAAGCTAGGCTGGAAGTGAGGTGCTCCCTTCCCTGAGCACCCCCTGACCACCTGCCCGCCTGTTCCACCAGTTCCTCCATGGCCTCCTGCTTCTGACCTGGCTGACCACCAGCCTGGCCCACCACAGCCCCCCACTCTGGGAGGCATTTCACAGCCATGGGACCCCACGCTGCTACTCGGCTGAGGAGCTGCCCCTCGGCCAGGCCCCACCACATCTGCTGGCTCGAGGTGCCAAGTGGGAGCAGGCCTTGCCTGTAGCCCTGGTGTCCAGCCTGGAGGCAGCAGGTCGTAGGCGGCAGCAGGAGGAGTCCCCAGCTGGGACCCAGTGCCCGGTGCTGCGGCCCGAGGAAGTACTGGACGCGGACACCCACCAGCGCTCCATCTCACCCTGGCGATACCGGTGAGGACCGCGGGGTCCCCGCTAGCAGAATTGGGCACTCCTTCCCGCCTCTGGGCACTGGCCTCGGTGTTCTCACCTGTTAAATGGGCATAATCACCCCCACCTCTCCATCCATCCAGCAGCCCCACTGGCCGAGAAAACTGAGGCTCTGTCAGCTGAGCTCGTCCTCGCTGCTGTCCCCTCCCTACATGCTGTCCCCAGACCTTGGCTACCAGGGTTCCGTGGGGAAATTCCCGATCTCCCGCTCGAGCTCCTGCAGGGTGGGTTTGATTGGTTGGGTTGAGCTCCTGGTGGGGAAAGGGGAGGGAGGCTCCTGGAAGCCCCGGGCCCTGCTCCTGCGCTCTCGGATGTTCCCGTGCTGAGACCGGCTGCATGGCCGCCCGTCCCCGCAGCGTCGACACGGACGAGAGCCGCTACCCGCAGAAGCTGGCCTTCGCCGAGTGCCTGTGCCGCGGCTGCATCAACGCCAGGACGGGCCGCGAGACGGCCGCGCTCAACTCGGTGCAGCTGCTGCAGAGCCTGCTGGTGCTGCGCCGCCGGCCCTGCGCGCCCGGCGCCTTCGCCTTCCACGCCGAGTTCATCCGTGTGCCCGTCGGCTGCACCTGCGTCCTGCCGCGCTCGGCGCGGTGACCGCCGCGGCGCCCCCTATTTATGCGTATTTATGGTTATTTATACCTCCTGGGCGACCCTGGCGGCGCGACAGGGCGGGGCCCCTCCCCCATGTCCTTGGGATTCCCGGCCCCGGAGGGTGACCCTACGCCGCTCCGTCCCCATCTCCAGTCTCAAGTTTACCCTTTTACAAAGACGGACGATGGCGCTAGAAGGAACCCGTTTCCTCTTGGAGAACGTCTTAAAACTACCACGGAAAGGCTGTCGTCTCAAAACTACCACGGAAAGGCTGTCTGAGGGCTGCCTCCACCTCGCTGGCCCAGGACCCCAAGCTCCCTCTTCCCAGCCTGTCTGGGAGGAAAAAGTACCCCTCTATTTTCTTAGGCAATTATTTATTTTAAGTGTAAACGCGTGTTATTAAACTGACAAATACATCCCCAGAGGATGGCATTCGATGACACATTGTCCTTCATCCCGCCTTGGATGCCCAGCTGGTCCCCCAGGGGCAGAAAGGTCTATGCACGAATGAGCAGATGCACCAGGGTGGAGATGGACTTTAGCACAGGGAGCAAAGGAGGTCCCCCGTGGTTTTGCCATCGACCTGGTCACGGGCGTGGGCCACACTCCCCCAAACCAAGCTATGACCTCTCCCCTTCGTTATGGCCATGAGCATCTGGGGCACCATCTCCGCCCCAAGGACAGGTGTCTCAGGATAAATTCCCAGGGGGTGTCAGCTGGGGGCACGTGCCTTCGCAGCACGATTGACAGGCATGTGCCCTCCTTAGAGAACTAGTCACCCTCCCCACCCCCGCAGGGGCCCAGACTGCTTTCAGAGTCAGTCCTGAGGCCCAGGAGCCCCTCAGGACTGTTGTTCTGCCAGACCAGGGGCCGTCAGGACTAGCGGCCCGTGCCCTTGTTCTGTTGCGGGCATTTAATGAAGGGGCCTCAGTTGTGGGAAGGGGGCCCAGGCCCTGGGGCAGTCTCAGGGCCTTAGTCTCCCACCTGTGACCACAGGTCCCCCAGCAGTAAAAGCTGACATTGGCCGTGGGACCACTGAAAAGTTGTCAGGAACCCCCCCTGCCTGATCAGTCTTCATCCACTGATTAATGCCTACTGTGTGCAAGTGCCCAGAAGAAGGGAGGCTGCTGTGGGGAACGAGGACACATGCCCAGGAGCCCAAAGGAGCAGGACTCAGGGAAAGCTTCTTGGAGGAGGTGGCCTTTATCTAGAGCCTGGGAGGATTGTGTTCAATTCACTTACTGAGTTTCTACTAAGTGTCCAACACTGTCCTCCACACTGGGAACAGGGCAGTGAACAAAAGGGGCAGAACCCCACCTCCCCCCAGGCACGGGACAAACCCAGCAGGAGGCCTCCGGTCAGTGAGGGTGGAGGTGAGGAGGGGAGAGGGGCCGCAGTTCCAGGCAGAGGTCGGGGAGGAAGCCGAGCCATGCAGCCATCCGGGAATGGTGTTCCAGGCAGCGAGAAAAGCACTGCAAGGGCCCTGAGAAGACACTGTGCCTGATGTACCCAGTCAGTGTGGCTGAGCCAAGGGGACAGGGAGGGCAAAGGAAGCCGAGCCATGCAGCCATCCGGGAATGGTGTTCCAGGCAGCGAGAAAAGCACTGCAAGGGCCCCGAGAAGACACTGTGCCTGATGTACCCAGTCAGTGTGGCTGAGCCAAGGGGACAGGGAGGGCAACAGTGGGGCCGGGGTGCAGAGCGTCTGTCCTGGGCTTCACCAGAGCGAGCCGAGCTTGCTTGCAGGTTCTGAGCAGGCAGGGCTCTGGGTTGGAAGGGCCAGCTCTGGCTGCAGTGCTGGGAGTGGCGCGCAGAGGGTGAGGGCAGAGCGGGGAAGCAGGAGGGGGGTCTGGAAGTGGCCGGATTTTGGTTGAGCTGGACAGATACCAGGCTGGATGTGGTGGGGTGTGAGGGAGAGTCGCGGTGACCTGCTCATTTGCTCATCTGCTTTCCCTCTTCACTCAGCCCCATCTGACACCTCTGGGATCCAAGCCGCTTAGGGTGGTATTAGGGACACTCCAGAGGGTGAGTCCAGGTAGGGTCTGGGAAAGCTGGGACGGGAGGACACATTCTCCCTCCTCCCAGGCAAGGGAGTAAATTTCAGAACACAAACTCACATACCTGGAATTCCAGGTGCCAACCGTATTTCATAGAATATATGAGACACCATGATTTCAGGGGCTGCAGAGAAAGAAGGCAACGCTGCTGCTAATGAAACCAAAATATGGCGTGTGGTTCCACCAGGCAGGAAAGGGGGTGCATGTCAGGGGCGGCCCCTCTCACCAGCCCCCAGGAAAAGCTGCATGCGCACAGGGCATTCTCTGTGTTTATTGTTTCAAGTGTGGCCGCCCGGTGGTGGCCGTGCAGGGGAGTGTGGGTCAGAGCCAAGGCCGACCGGTCCAGCGATGGTCATACGACCTCATCAGTCACCGGGATGGGGTTGGACTGGGGACCACCCAGGGAGCCCGCTGCTGCCACTTCCTCGCTGGGTTTCTTGCGGGCCTCAGCCGGGGGCCGCGGCGGGGGATTGCTGGGTGGCTGCTTGATCGTGCCTCCGACCTGTGGCCGCTCCTGGCGCTTGTGCTCGATGGGGGTCCACTGCTCACCATGGACGGCCGCCTGGGGGGCATGGAAAGGCTGAGCCACGCTGCAGGCCACCCCTTCCCTGCCCTCCCTGGGGGGTCCACCCCCAAATTGGAGCAAAGACGGTTAAGAGGAGAAAAGAGCCTGATAAATGGATCCAAATCCAGGCTGGGGCCTGGCCAGAGAACTCAGCTGGTCAGAGCGGGGTGCTGATAACACCGAGGTCCACAGTTGGATACCTTTACTAGCCAGCGGCCAAAAAAAACCCAAACAACAAAAATACAGGCTGGGATCTCAGCTGGCCTGGCTGTGTCACCAGGACAAGCCAGGTTTCCTCTCTGACCTTCCCCTTCTTTGTGAAGTAGAGACCCCACTTCCCACCTGGCAGGGCAGCAGCGCGGATTGATGAGAAAATGAGGGAAGTGGCCCAGGACACACGGGACGAGTGATTGCTGCCGCCCCACCAGGACAAGATGCAAACGCGTGGGCTCAGACACAGAGCCCCTGGCTGAGGGTGTCAAGGATTGGGGGTGGGCTGACCACACAGGACGCCACTTACCAGCAGGTAGATGCCGCTCGCAATGGCCAAGCAGGCAGTCCCCAGGATGGTGGCAAGCAGGAAGCCCGCGGGCACCGCCAGCCTGGGGAGGGTGTGGGCAGGAGGACGGGAAACACAGGAGGATAGTCAGAAAGGGGGTCTGAAGCCCCAGCCTCACAAGATCTCAGGACAAGACAGATGGCAAATGTGCTGTCCCCCAGACCCCAGGCCACAGGGATGCCAGCTCTGCCAAAGGTTGGGCTTAAGTTTTGGCCCCTGGAGCTGTCCTCTGCCTCGATCTGTACCTTGACAACTCTTGGGACACTTGCTCTTGGACCTTAGCCACCATGCAGAGGAAGCCCAGGTAGCCACGGAGTGGCTACATGCACAGGTGCTTCCACCACCTCCCAGCAAAGACCACCAGACACGTGTGCGGGGAACCTTCCACTCAAGCCTCCCTATGAGCCCCAAGCAAGAGCCACCCAGCTGATCTCAGGCGACCCCAAAACATGACTGCTGTGCACTTAAGCTGCGAAGGTTTGGGGCGAGTTGTTCTGCATAACAGATGATGGGTACAGGCTTGGGGTACCTCTGCCAGAGCCTGGGACCTGGGTTTTTGTTTGGGAAAACATCCAGCCAAGGAAGGGGCTTGACTTGGCCGGCGCTCTCCTGTCCAGGCAGCCAGGCCAGTGGAGGGGGTCTATGCCAAGGCCCTCCTGATCCCTGGGGGAAGGGGGGGCAAGGACTCACAGGAGGTGCAGGATGGCCCGGATGTAGTAATTCCTGGTGAGTGGCCCAAACAGCTTCACCACAGCGGTCATATACTTCTGTCCCCTAGAGGTAGGGAGGTGGGAGAGACAGACTGTTGGGGTGGAGCCTGTCCTCAGGACTGTCCCTTCCCCACCCCCATCCCAGGGCACCCAGGCCTTTCTCCTCCAGGGGCTGGCAGCGGCTGGACAGGCACCAGCCTCGGCTTGCTGGGAGGAGGAATCCCTGTCCAGTCCAGACCTGGCCCCATGCATGGCTTCCGTTGTGCAGCCAGGGTTGATGCTCCTCTGTGGGGCTGCATGGATCAGTAACTTTCTTTTTCTTTCTTTCCTCGAGTAGCTTTCTATTGTATGAATTGACCACTGTTTATCTTTCCATTCTTCTATCTTTGGGACATTTTGGTTGCTTCCAGTTTGGGGCTATCATGAAGAAGTTGATATAGCTGATTTTTTTTTTTTTAAGCAATACTTTATTGATGGTGATTGGAGATAATTTGAACTTAATCTTATTTTGTGTTTTCTCTTTAAATAGTTTATGTTTCTTCCCCTGCCTTCTGCGGACTTGATCAAACTTTGTCTAACCCTTCCTTTCCTACACAAGTGTGGAAGCGACATATCTGGTTATATTTTAACAGTTCCCTCCCTACCTCACTGTGGAACCTTCATCAGACAGAAGTTGGATGTTTAGTACAATGAATGTCCACATATCATCTGCTCAGATGCAAAACTTTCGGCCACTTCCTCTATCCCCCTCCACATGCACGCTTTGTCACACATGTGCTTTACTCATGTCACCTAGTCCACGTGCACACTTCCCCACACACATCCTCTATGTCTGTTTTTCATTTAACCAGGACCTAATCAAGTCTCTGGCATTTGGTTATGCGTCTTTCATCTTTCTAAATCTACAGCAATGTCCTACCTTTTTACTTTTTATGGCACTTTTTAATGTCTTCCAGAGTGTCCCACACTCTGGATGTGTCTGGCTGTTCATCAAGGCACCGTTCACCTTGTCCCTCAGTTCTGTGTTCTTCGTGAAGTGGAAGCAGCATGAAGGCTAGACTGAGCTCAAAGACTTTTTAGGCAAGAATTCTCAAAGCTGGTGTTGGGTATTTCATATTTATCACATCGAGAGACACATCATGTCAAGTTGTCCCACTATTTATCCTTACTTTTTTTTCCTAACTAGACATCAGGCTATCCTTACATTTTACAATAAGTTCCCAACAATATTTAAAGTTAATTATTTTAAAATCCCCTCTTCCTGGGCCGGCCCTGTGGCGCACTCAGTAGAGTGCGGCGCTTGGGAGTGCGGCGGCGCTCCCGCCGAGGGTTCAGATCCCATATAGAGACCGGTCCGCTCACTGGTTGAGCGCAGTGTGGGCGCGACACCGAGGGTTGCGATCCCGTTGCCAGTCGCGGTACGGGTGCGACACCAAGGGTTGCAATCCCGTTACCAGTCACAAAAAAAGACAAAAAGAAAAAAAAAAATCCCCTCTTCCTGAGTCACATATGGACTTTAAAATGTTTAACTCTCTGGGCCAGCCAGGTGGCGCACTGCTACAGT